CTCAACACCGACACCACACCTCCTTCCCCCTCCTCACCACCACCACCACCTCCTCATGTGTTAGTGAGCACCTCACGACTTCCGGCCACGGGTTCTTCGATCTGCTAGCACCCGCGCTCTCGTCCTGGTTCTATCGCCGTGACGTCATTGACCAGGTCCGTTAAATAAGGGGAAGCAACCCCCGGCCCCTTCGACTGCCCGTAGTATTTCCCGCTCTCTCCCTATCGCCGCGCACGAGGCTTTATCGGTGATATTGTCTTCATAAGGTGAGAGAAGGAGTGCGTCTGTTTGTGTGGTGATTTGTTTGTGTGTTTGTTTATGTGTGTGTGTGTGTGTGTGTTTGTTTGTTGGTTGGTTGGGTGGTTGGTTGGTCGGTTGGTTGTTTTTGTTGTTGTTTGTTTTGTTGGTTTTTGTTGCTGTAGTTGTTGTTGTTGTTGTTTGGTATTCTGCTGAGTTTATCCTTTAGATTACTTGTTGGTGCGAACACATTGTTTGGATAGAGCATTTTCTGTCTGTGTTTGTTCATTTGTATGGGTGTTTGTCTGTTTATAATTTATTTTTATTGCTGAGCTTACCATTTTTGTTTGTAAATATGAATACAACAAAGGAGTGAGCATGTTTCTTTTGTGGGTTTGTTTTTTTATGTTTATTTGTTTTGAGTTGCTGAGTTTATGTGCGTCTTTTTGAGTGTTTGTTTGTTTATTTGTTTGTTTTTGTTGCGAAGTTTACCGTTTACATTTATTTGTTTGTTAGCATGAATACATTATAGGGAAAAGTATGTTTCGTGGGTGATTGGCGGGTGCTCTGGCGTGGTTTGCTCCTGCTTTCCTATCAAACATCTATCGTCCTTATCTCCCCTTTTTATTTTTTGTGTTTGCTACTCTCTTGTAGCACCTCTAATCTTCTGGAGCTCATATGACCTTTTGCAGCTAGGAGCGCCGTAAAACTTCTACTAAAACTAAACTAAAGTACATTTCTTTTTGTGTTTATTCATTTGGTAGGGGGGGGTTGTTCTTGTAGTATACTACTCTATTGTTTGTTCGTACCAACACATTGTAGGAGGGAGTATGTTTCTTTCTATGTTTGATAGTTGTTTGGGTGTTCGTTTGTCTCCTTTGTCTGTTGCTAAATAGTTTTCTCTTTAATTTGTTACCGATTCTCGGATGCTCTGGTGTTGATCGTTTTATCTCTCCCTATTCTTTTTCTAACCTAGTGGTTAGGCTGACGGACTCGTAATCGTTAGGTTGCGGGTTCGGGGGTTCGAGCCGCGGGCCCGATGTTGTGTCCTTGCTTGCACTGTATGCTTCCCGGGAAGCTGAGAATGTTTCGGAGTGTTCTATGGTTTGCTGGGGGTAATAATATAGTGCGAAGGGCATAGAGCTTGTTTTCGAGTGGGGATATGCGCTATACAAATGCTATTTATTATTATTATTATTATTATTATTATTATTATTATTATTATTATTATTATTATTACTATTATTATTAC